CATAGTAGGTTGGATTTTGCCAAGACTAAGGGTTGGTACAAAAAGGAAGTATCTGCGTATCTGCTAGTGGTCTAGGGTTAATTTGGGGGTGATGAAAATGTTCCAAATTTTATTTTGGTGATGTTTGCACAACTGTGAAGTTATCATTTATTTGTATGCTTTAACAGGTGACTTTTATGGTATTTGGATTATATCTTTAAAAACTGTTAAGAAAAATAATGACTATCACCATTAGGTTGTGCTAAAACAGCAGTACTATGTAGTGATTTTAAACTTCAAATGAACGAAATTGTTGTAATGTCTGAATGTTTATGTGCTGTTGCTCCTTTTGTTCTTCACTTAGGAAACATCCTTCAGGCTACATCATAAAATTTACTAAGAAGCACCCTTTGATTGCTATTATTTCTGTTCCTGAAGTGTAAGGGAATGGAGAGACAGAAGAAGTTTTTTTTGCCTAGACCAAAGTCACACTGTGTGTGATCTGTGTGCACCTCGCATTTGCTATGTGGGCTGAGTCCACCATCACTGCCTTTCTTCAGGCCACTCTATTTTCAGCTCCCCTGGGTGGGCTTGCTTGCTTCATGACACAGAATCCTCTTGTGATGGCTGCCTGGAACGACTGCCTTTCTTGGCAATGAAACACCATGACATATTTGCAAGCAGTGACTGAGGGGCTTAGAGTTCAGCATGTCTGTTCATGACATGTTTCGCTTGTTTAACACCTTTCTATTGTTCCTCGTGGGTTTGCTTGTATTTTTTTATTTGCCTATCAGATCCTCTTTTTTGTGTTAACATTAGTACAAATTTCAGTTCCATCACAAGTATTCCAGTTTGCAGTAAGTTCTCTGTTCTCTGAATTCTTTTCTTTTAAAGATTTATTTATTTATGTATACAAGAGCTGGGGTACAGGACAGAGACATGGGGGCGGGGGCAGACAGAAGAGGCAGATTGACTGAAATACACTGCTGAGTGGAGCAGCGAACGAGACAGGAGAGGTCTGCTGCACCATGTGAGTTGCTCCCTGGCTGTCTGGGGATGGAACTCATGCTACACACGCTGTGGACAGCTTCATAGTGTGGTGCTAAACCCCTTGCACCGCCAGGGAGGCCCTGTTCTCTGAATTCTTATCATGTGCATTAAGTGTTTCACTTCTGTCACACAGACCACAAACTACCCAGCACATGTTAGCTTTGTTGAGCATATACTATGTGCTAGGAACTGCACTAAAAACTTCCCATTTTTTTCAGCATATTTAACCATATAAATTAATCTTGTTTACTTTATTAATAGGCACAACCATTCAGTGAACTTCCATTCTTTTCTGATTGAGTATTTATCTAATTGTCACACAAATTCTATTACAGAAAAGATACGGCTTGATAAATACTGGTGAATTACTTATTATTTTTTCATTTCTATTTTTTTTTGTCTTTAATTAAGCTACTGAAAAAACCTTACTAAATGTGGTAAAAATATGTTTTGTTCACTCACTGCCACATCATGTCTCAGTAAATTTCAATTATTTATTTTGTAGTTTTTAAATTAATAGACTTTATTTTATGAGTTAATTTTTGGAGGAAAAATGAGTGGAAATTGCAGAGTTCCTGTATATCCCCTCGACCTCCCAAAAACACAGTGTTCCTTCTTATTAATATCTTGCATAGCCACTAATTTTCCACCAATTTAGTGATCCAGAATCTACTGTTACAATTGATGAACCACTATTGATGCATTATCTTTAAGGTCCATATTTTACATTAGGTTTCACTCTTTCTGTTGTTTATTTTATATCCTTTGATAAAGGAATAACTTACACACAAAATAACTTATACACACACATATATATGTTTTCAAGGCACAAGTATATGTATATATGTATGTGATAACTTATTTTTTTTGACCACTGAGCTATATAGCTCATTGTCTGAATATACTACAGCTTATCAGTTCATCTTTTAAAGACTATCTTGGTTGCTTCCAAGTTTTAGCAATTATGAATAGAGCCTGTACAAACATTTCTATGCAGATTTTTCTGTAGGACTACTTTTAAAATTTTACTTGAATAAATACCAGTGAGGACAATTTATGGATCATATAGTATGTTTAGTTTTATAAGAACAAAGCAGTTTGTTTCGATACAATTTCAAACCATCTTCCCAAGTGGCTATGCCATTTTGCAATCCCATCAATAATGAGGAGTTTCTGTTGCTACACATCCTCACAAGAACTTGGGGTTGTTGTGCTTGGGATTTTAGTAATTTTAATGTTAATGTGGTGGTATTACAATTCTCTTTTAATTTTAAATTCTCTGATGGCATATTATAATTAAAATCTTTCTATGCACCTGTTTATCATGTGTATATTATGGTAAAGTGTCTTTTCAGATAATTTGTATATTTGGTAATTGGGTTTTATTTTTTTTTAATATTTAATTTATTTATCCATGAAAGATCTGGGGTACAGGCCAGAGGTGTGGGGGATGAGAAGATTCATCAGAGACAGAGTGGGGAGCAAGCAGAACAGGTGGATTGACTGAAATACACTGCTGAGGGGAACAGCTGGCGAGACAGACACACATTTCAAAAGATCCAGGCTCCACCCATTAAACTTCACATCTGCTGAGTTTTCCCTTGTCTGTCCACCTTGCTACCCCCACCTATCGCCCCTGCCTCCACCCCGCCCCATCACCCTCCCCAACCAGCGTGCACAGTGGGTTACGATGACTTTCCAGCTCCCGTTGGACGTGGCACATATTGTGGCTTTTAAGGAAGGACAGCTTTTAAGGCTTTTAAGGAAACAAAAGCAAAAACCAGGATTATATCAGAGCAAGAGCATGAAGTCTGCTGGGCCACACCCAGGTCCCCTGTGGCCGGTCAGTGCAGGGTGATGGAGACTGGCAAGGAGTAAAAACTGACCTGTCCTCACAGGTGTAAAAACTAACAAAATTGCCTCTACCACACTCAGTGCACTAATTGCTCACTGAATGTGCTACAGGATGCTCCAATTAACACAGTCGAGTAAACACACACTTTCCCTCTGTAGGAAGGTCCCTGAGGGCTGGTATCTGGACAGTGTCCAACACGCAGACACCAGCTCCAGAGTTCAAATAGCCCAGCCCTGAGACCCTGCTCTGTCCATGAGGCAGCGCAGGACGGGGTGGAACCGCCTGTTAGTGCACAGAGGCTCCCCACGAGCCCCGACCATGGAGTGAGAGGCCAGGACGCCCTCTGCCCCGCCATGGGGACAACCTCAGGACAGAGACTCATCAGGGCAGCTGGAAACGCCCCCCTCAGACTGCAGGTATTCTGTTCGTAAACAGTTTTCAGAATAGAAATCGTTCAGACTTGAAAGTTTTTAGATTTCAAGCTTCATTGTAGATTAGAGAAAGCACATCATCCAAAATAGACATTTCATAAATAATGAAAACTATTGCTTATAGAGTTGCAGAAGTTCCTCAACGATGCACTGCTGTATCATCCTGGGGTTAAGATTCAATGAGAGAAAATAACTTTTTTTAATTGAAAAATCCAAATATTATAAATTTTAATAGCATCATCATATTAGTAGATTTTAATATATGATGCATATAACTTCAAAACTATGATCTGGGCACTCAACTCAAAGAGTCAGTGTATATTAAGTATCAAATAAAATCAAAACAATAGATGCAATTAAATTGGGATTAAAAAACTCAAAATCAAATAAAAATACTTATAGGTAAAAATCAAAATGATAAGGCATTTTATTCTGAAATATTGCAACAGATATAAGAGACAAGTGGAAATTCAAAAACTTTTTAAAGCAACATGATCACCACTTCATGGCTCTAACACTAACGGGAGGGTGGCACGGACGTCTACTAATTTTGGACATGAAATTGGGATTTTTCCCCGACTCATCACTCAAGGATAGTGATATTAAAATGAAAAAACACAATATTTTAACAACACCTGGAGAGAGATGTATCAAAAATTATTTCATCATTACAAATAGTATTTTAAATCACTCCTAAGATGTCTACATGTATGACCACCTGGTATTTTAATTTATCTTCTAGTTTTTATTAAATTTCTTTGAATTGTATGTACACTGATGCATAGCCACAAGTTTATTCCCCACATTGCCCTTAAAAGTCCTGCCTCCCCAGGGCCTGACCCTCCGTCACCCCACAGAGGGGGGAGAGGATGACATTGGAGGGGAGGAGAGTGTGCAGGGCTGTCCCATGTCCAGGGTCCCCACTCATGCATGGGCTTGGGGGGAGGAACAAACCCGCACCCAGGGTACCCGGGGCCCTGGGACCGGCAGGGACAGCCACACGCACAGACCGTCCAGCTCAGCCCCAGAGCGGCCTCCACCCTGCACAGATGTGCATGAGTCTGAGGGGGACAGAGGGGCCGGGAGGGACCAAGGGTGGATGAGCCCATCCTGCAGGAGGGACGTGTGGGTGCGACCCCGAGGAGACTCTGCGGGAAATGTGGTCTCCGAGTCCTCAGATGTGGGTAGTCAGGGGCAGGGAGATGAGGAGATGAGGGGACAGACAAGGAGGCAGCAGTGAGGCCACAGGGGCAGGAATCTGACAATGGAGGCATCAGAACATGCCGCACGTGACGCCGAGCCCAGATCATTCAGTTCCAGGACAGTGTCGGGTCCTGGGGGCAGGAAAACAGAGACCCGCACACACCATCTCCCTGCACGCCGGTCACTGTGGTGCCTCCCCAGACCAGGGCTGTGATGGAGGAGCAGGGAAAGGATCTCCAGGGTGGGGAGGGGCTGGGCATGTTCACGTCTCCAGGGTTGGGAGGGGCTGGGCATGGTCACTTGTCCTCTGGGGCTGTGCCCAGGACAACCTCTGGGAGGTGTGCTGGGTGGAGACTCTGGGGTCTGGGCAAGAGGCGGGAGCAACAGGACTGGGGCGGTGGGGAGGGGCTGTTAGTCTGGCTATGAGATCAACCTGAGCATAATCCTATGATCACCAAAATGATCCTTCTTCCTGATCCCAGATCCATTGTGATAAAGGCGCGTTTCTGGAGCTGAACGCAAAAGACCCAACAGAGTGAGTGACATGGAGCTGCTCCACTCCACAGCCTCAGAGTGACTGCTGGGAAATGCCTGTGACTGTCCTTGTAGGTGTCATGTTTTATTCAGGTCGATGGTTTTACACAGATGACGGCTCCAGGGGTGACCAATCTCACAGCTGTGACAGAATTCGTCCTCCTGGGGTTCCCCACCCAGGGGACCATGGGCTTCCTGCACCCACTGCTCTTCTCCCTGGTCTACCTGTGCGCCCTGCTGGGGAACGGGCTCATCATCCTCATCACCACCCTGGACCGGTACCTCCACACCCCCATGTACTTCTTCCTGAGGAGTCTGTCCTTCTCGGACCTCTGCTTCCTCTCAGCCACAGTCCCCAAGTCCATTGCCAACTCTCTGAGGCACAGCGGCTCCATCTCCTTCCCGGGCTGTGTCCTCCAGGTCTTTGTGCTGATACTTTCAGGGGCTGCAGAGTTTCACATCCTTGTGGTGATGAGTTATGACCGCTATGCTGCCATCTGCCACCCCCTGCACTATGACGTCATCATGAGCAGGGACAGATGTGTGCAGCTGACAGCTGTGTCCTGGCTGGGTGGGGGTCTCCATGCTGTGATGCACACAGCTGGAACCTTCTCCTTGTCCTACTGCGGGTCCAACCTGGTCCACCAGTTCTTCTGTGACATCCCCCGTTATTAGCTACTTCCTGCTCAGGAAATTTAATCAATGAACTTGTCCCTATTCTCACTAGTGTAGTGATGGTTTCCTTTTGTTTTATTTTCATCATCATTTCCTACGTCCACATCTTCTCTGCTGTCAGGAAGATCCCATCCACAGAAGGGAAGGCCAAGGTCTACTCCACCTGCCTTCCCCACCTGCTGGTTGTGGTGCTGTTTGTCTCCACTGGATTTTTTGCTTATCTGAAGCCGACCTCAGGGACCCCGTCCATGTCTGACCTGGTCATTTCTATGTTCTACACGGTGGTGCCCCCTACCTTTAATCCCGTCATATACAGTCTGAGGAACCAAGCCATGAAGTCAGCTGTAGGGAGACTGATGAAGGGGAGACTGTCCAAAATGAAATAGAAAAGATTAGTTCACGACACTATTATGAGACATTTATTTTAAAATTTCACATTATTGTCCCTTTCATACTATTTTAATTTCATATAATTCCATTGTATAATTTAAATATATAAGCTCATTTTTAAGATATATTTACGATGTCTTCATATATTCTTCTGCTCATTCATTCGATTAGCATTGATTGTTCCTCTTTTTTAACACTTAGTTGCACTTTGATATTCTCTGTACAATGGAGGTCACTGAACTTCAGCATCTGTCTGCTGTTCTCTCTTTCCGTGCTCTCGGCCGAAGGGCAATTGTTGAGTTTCATCTCAGTTATCAGCAGAAATTCTCTCACTGGGGCAGCATCTCCAGTCTCTAAGGCACTTCCCCTTTCATGCTCACGTTTGGGATCAGGGGCTGTGGGTGGGACAGAGGCCCCCTGTACTTGGTGAGTGAGGCCTTCATCGCAAAGGAAGGCCTGAGGGCCCAAGTTGGAAACTGAGTGGTCACAATCTTCTGTGGACAAGGACCCACACATGATGGGGTAGAGACCCTCTTGGAGGCTCTGGTGTGGGTACCACCGGCTTTTACCATAAACACAGCACACAATGGACACCAGAAATAAGACAGTGGCTGTGAAAGCTGTTAATTTCATGTGAAGTATAATTGCTAAAAATTTACTAAAATAGTTAGTAGTGTTTTTCAAGAAACAATAAAGGAACTTTGGAAGCTATAATGGTAAAAAAATACTAGATAGTGAACTACACAGTATTCTAATATTTCCACAGATAGTTGAGGAAGGGCGCTCACAACATCACGCCACACTTTCCTTGTGTGTTTATCCCCATATATTTAATTACCTAGAATTTCTGGGAATTTGAGGACAATGTCATTTTGGCCACATTTTTAAGGGGATCTCAAGTGTTTGTGTTTTCATGTGGAGTAGTTCAAACGAGAAATCACATCGGATTTAAATATCATAAATAACACTATCATTTAGTGTAGATGCAAAGACAAAGAATTTGAAGAAGATTTAAAATTGGAAAGTGAAATGCCCAAGTGTATGCCTGCTGTGTGGCCTCAGCTCTTGTCTGCTGACTGCATCGACCCCTGCTTGCCCATCTGTGAAGTCCAATCTTTGAAAAGTTCACAACAAAATATTTCATGATAATATGATGTTCCAACTGGATATCAGACATTTAAATCTTTCTCAGACATTCACCCTCTAATCAGGCTGACCTTGCCTTCAGCCCAGGTGAGTCCCATGTGGGAACAATGTCAATTTGGAGGCAGCCAGTAATGGTTAAATGATGGCAACATCTCCATCTTTGAACTTCTGGGTTGACCACTTGCTACTGTTCTTTTAAATCATTGGCATTTTTATTTTTTCTGATGGTAGATAACATTCTTAATATTAATTCTAGTTACTGTCATAGTTTACAGGTCAATAAAAGTTATGGGGTATCAAGAGAAGATTATGGGATATAATGACAATTCAATACATTTATTAAATGAAGAAGCTGAATCAGACTATTATAAATATATACTGAGAATATTCATTGACTACAATTTGGCAGTTTTGTGTAACATAATTAATTTTTTTAAATAATAAAACATTAACTGTTTCTCGGTTGTATGGATTTAAACATTTCAGCACAATTAAAGCTGTTGTGGACAATGTAATATACACTAAGAAAACAAAGATTGCACTAAAAAAAAGCAAACTAAAATAATAAGTCACTTCAGTGTAGTTGAAAGTGTAAAAAATCAACACACAGGGCCTCCCCAGTGGCGCAGCATCTGAGCTCTGGGTTGCGAAGCTGCCTGCAGCCTCTGCAGCACCGGTTCAATCCCCGGCCATCAACAAGGGTCCCTCATGGCGCGCAGACCTCTCCTGCCGCCCGCTGCTCCCCTCAACAGTGTACTTTATCAGTCTGCCTATTCTGTTCCCTGCTCTGGCTCTGGTGTGTTCTCCTCACCATCCTGCACTTCTGACTGTACCCAGCGCTTGCATAAATAAATAAATAAATAAATAAATAAATAAATAAATAAATAAATAAATAAACACAATGTTGTCAACTTGTGTTAACTTAATAAATAAACCAACCGTTTAAAAAAACAACACACAAAAATCAATGGCCTTCTATATGCACAAAATTAACTAGAAAATAAGTTAAAAAACAATCCTACTTATAATCACGACATGAAGTATCATGGAGTAAACATAACAAAGGAGGTAAAGATGCACAGAAAAGAGTAAGATATTGTTAATAGAAATAGAAAAGACTGAGAAATGGAAAGATATTCCCTGCCCTTGGCTTGGGAGAATCAACATACCAAATGTGCATCTGATCCAAAGCAATTTACAGATTCAGTGTAATCCCAATAAAAACTTCAATCGCATTTTCCAAATATATATAAAAAAAATTGCTCAAAGTTCGCCCATGTCAGGCCCCTTTTGGCCTGCAGTTCAAGTCCAGAGGAGGAGCGGGAACCCACCGCCCGGGCAGACTGGGAGCGCAGGGAGTGCGCCCCCGCATCGCCACTTTAGAACAGGGATATTTCTTCAGTAAAGACTGCTTGAAACCAGCAGTTGGCTCCCAGAGGAGCCAGAGGTGAGCTGGGAAGTACGCCCACACCAGGCCCCTTCTGGCCTGTAGTCCCAGCCCGGAGGGGATGTGGGAAACCACCACCAGGGCAGACTGGGCACGCAGAGGAGTGCAAACCTGTATGGCCTTTTTAGAACAGGGACCTTTCTTCAGTAAAGCCTGCTTGAAGCGGGCAGATGGCTCCTGAAAGAGCCAGAGGTGAGCTGGGAAGTTCGCCCAAGATGGTGGCCAGTACCAGCAACACAGTGTCCCAATGCATGTGGCAAATTAGAAAACAGGCAGTAGGTAGCAGAAAAACCACACACACCCAGCAACTCCTCAGGAAAAAAGCAAACCACAAAAAGAAAATCACCCCCCAGATTGCAACAACAGTAACTTGGAACAACTTCTGAGCCTTCCAGAAAGAGAATTTAAAATTGCCATGGGCCTCCCTGGTGGCGCAGCGGTTGAGCGCTGGGTTGCGAAGCTGCCGGTGACCTCTGCGGCGCCAGTTCGATTCCTGGCTGCTCCCTGGCCACCAGAGGAGGGTCCCGCATGGCGCGCAGACCTCTCCTGCCGCCCGCTGCTCCCCTCAGCAGTGTACTTCGGTCCTTCTGCCTGCTCTGCTCCCCGCTCTGGCTCTGGTGAATTCTCTCACCCTCCCGCACTTCTGACTGTACCCAGTGCATGTACAAACAAAACAAACAAACAAATAAATAAATAAATAAAACATGCCTCTATTTAAAAAAAAAAAAAAAATAAAATTGCCATGATTAAAAATCCTGACAGAAGTCATAAAGGAAAACAATGATAAGGGAAAAATAATCAACAATCAGAAGAATGAAATTGAGTCCCTAAAGCGGGAAGGAAAAGAAATGCAGGAAATCAAAGAATTAATGGAGGCGCTAAAGAACTCTGGGAAAAGCAATGAAAGCAGAATAGATGAAATGGAAGAACGAATAAGTACTCTTGAAAACACAGAAATAAAAAGAACCAAAACAGAAAAGGAAAGAGAAATATGAAGGAAAAAGACAGAAGAAAGACTTTGGGAACTATCCAACTCCATGAGGAAAGGAAATATAAGAGTTACTGGAATACCAGAAGGAGAGGAGAGAGATGTAGGAACAGAAAATATTCCAGGAGATAATTGAAGAGAACTTCCCAAACGTGCAGAAGGAGCTGAAAATTGATATACCAGAAGCAAGAAGAACACCAAACTTCCACGACAAAAGGAAAAATACAGCAAGACACATAATAGTAAAGCTCCCAAGAATCCAGGACAAGGAAAAATAATGAAGCTGACAAGAGGGAAGAAACAGATAACATTCAAAGGAAAACCAATCAGGCTGACATCAGACTTCTCTGAAGAAATACTATGGGCAAGGAGAGAGTCGAGGAACATAGTCAACAGACTCCAAGAAAACAGATGCCAACCAAGAATTCTCTATCCCACAAAGTTCTCCTTCCTCTATGAAGAAAGAATAAGGACCTTCCCAGACAAACAGA